GCATAAAAAACTTTTACTTAATAAAAATTTCTTTATTTTTTAAAGAAAGATTTTAACCAATCATATTATATAAAATATAAGATCAGTATTTTGACTTAAAGAACATAGTAAAGAAGAGTTAAACTTTGAATCAAGATCTTCTTAAAGTTATATTTTTAATACTCTGTAAAAATTTATAAAAAAGAAACATTAAATGCTAAAAAATATAAATCTCACTTTAAAAAAAAAACTTTCTTTTTATTTTTTTTAAATAATTTAAGATTAAATGAATTTTTTTCATAAATTTACATATGAAATTAAGGTACATCAAGTCATTTGATCTATAATTATAACAATCAAAGTTATATGTCCTATGCCTGATAATATATCAGATACTAATATAACGATTTATTGATCAGCAGGACATGCTGATATATATCGTACTTGTAGTCAAATCTCTCCTTTGGAGAAGTGTGCATTTATAAAGAGAAAAAAAATATAATGCTATTATAGACCAGAACTAACCTATGTCGTGCATATATATAATGTGTGCATTAGAGAGTGTGCATTTAAAGTATTTGGACAACATAAATTTAATTTCTTGCATTTTGAATAAATATATATAACAAAATTCATTATAAAAAACAAAATTTTTTTCCAAAACCGTGTTTTTTTTGGATACTTCGCATTCTTTTTAACCAACAAGAACATAATGAAGTTCTCAATAATTCACTTGTTTTACTACTGCATCTTGACTATTTTCATCTATATTCTTCCAGCTGAAGCCCGAGGTCGAGAAAATCTTAAAGGTATCATGTTGTTTAAATAAAATAAATTACTAATTTTATCTTTATCTTGCATAATCTATTCTTTTACTGTTGAATTAGACCATATTCTCCCAGCTAAAGCCCAAGGTAGAGAAAATTTTAAAGGTATAGTGTTGCTTAAATAAAATAAATTACTAGTTTTATCTTTAACTTATATAATCTATTACTGTTAATTAGACCATATTCTCCCAACTAAAGCCCGAGGTGGAGAAAATTTTAAAGGTATAGTGTTGCTTAAATAAAATAATTTTCTAACTCTAAAAGACATGATAGCGATCTCTCAAGATTTCGCTTCGAACTCGTTTGGTTA